TGATAAATCATGCTTCATCATCTGGCAGTCTGACGGACAAATCTGGGTTTGGCGGATGCCAGGAGAACGCTACCTGCCCCAATGCATAGTGCCAAATAATGGGAAATAATGGTCTGGGGCTGTTTTTCATGGTTTGGGCTAGGCCTCTTAGTTCCAGTGAAGGGAAATCTTAACGCTACAGCATTCTAGTCAATTATGTGCTTCCAACAATTCTGTGCCCTTTCCTGTTTCAGCATGACAATGCCCCTGTGCACAAAGCGAGGTCCATACAGAAATGGTTTGTCGAAATCGGTGTGGAAGAACTTGACTGGCCTGCACAGAGCCCTTACCTCAACCCCATCGAACACCAATGTTCCGACATCTAGTGGAAAGCCTTCCCAGAAGAGAGGAAGCTATTATAGCAGAAAAGGGGGGGACCAACTCCATATTAATATCCATGATTTTGGAATGAGATACATACTTTGGCCAAGTAGTGTAGCTGATTGCTGATGTGTCTCCTAGCACTGTTTTAATGCAGGTGTTGCTCCTCATGTCTGATTGCATTGACACGTTGGCTGTATGTGGCCATTGTCATTGTGTGTTTGTGTATGCTCTGATGAAGGTTTTGCGACCAAAAGCTTAGCCTAATTAAATGAAATGTATGTATTGATCCTAAGTGTTCAGAGACTTTATTACATTTACAGTATTGCTCTTCATCTTCTGCACCTTCTCTACAGTCAGATTCTCCTAAGTTAATTGTATTCCTCCTTCTCCCCTTCAATCCTGCATCCCTCCTGCCAAAGGATTCTCGTGTAGTGTGTGTGACTCAGGCGTTGTGAAAGTGAAAAGTTATTGTTTTTATATTCAAATATCAATCAAATATTTTAAAATATGAGTACAATCAAGTTCTTTCCCAAAGTTTCTTGAGTATATTCAAATGTAGGCGAATGGGTCAAAAAGGCCCAATTCTCATGGTATACATCAGGCTGCTGTATACCATGAGAATTGGGCCATTTTGACCCATTCGCCTAAGCTGTTATATACTGTCATTATAATGTAATATCAGCTTAAAACAGGTTAATTAACAGTCTTTGGGGTGTAATATATTGGGAAAATTGGTATTGGAGAGTCTGACATGAAATCTCAAGCCTAACCTGAGTTCTGTCAAACAAGCAATTTCCAGTGAGATTTGTTCCATTTCAAGCCATTCAGCTATGGGTTTTAGTACCCTATCATAATAAAAACAAGTCATATCATCTTAAAAAGGGGTTAATTAACAATATTTGGGGTGTAACATGTTGGGAAAAGTGGTATTGGAGAGTCTGACATGAAATCTTAACCCTAACCTGAGTTCTGTATAACCAACAAATCCCAGTGAGATTTGTTCCATTTCAAGCCATTCTTCTATGTGTTTTAGTACCTACCATCAAGGTGCAGGACACTGTCTTTGCCAATGAGAACCAAGAGGGGCCTAGCTTTGTGCCTGCCTCTAGTAGGCTACTGAGTGAGAAGGGCTGAATTATGTTCTATTAGACCCGTCTGCACCACCAACTCCCCTGATGTTGTTTCACCATATTCTACCCCTAATTCAGTAGTGGTCTGGTGTGGTCTGGTGACGTGCTCTGCTGCAGATTCCTGTCCTCATTGACTGGGAAAAGGCCCAGAAGATCCTACATCTAGCCCATGGATCAACAATGATTCATATTACTGGTTTGCATTCCAACATATATTGTGTTCAATGTTTTCACAGCCCTTAAAGTCATGATAATAAAGACAATGTGTGGGCTACTATGCCTACTGCTTCCAGAATTCCATCTGCCAGAAAAATATATCAACATTTATAGTACATTTTATTCTATCTGGACATTGGATGCAAGGACAGACAGTTTTAAACATAAATTATGGCTCAGTTGGTATGAGCAATATATAGAATTACATGAGAACAAAAAAAAAGAATGGGTTAAGACAGTTGTACCAAGGACAGTCATCAGTAAGAAAAATCATAAATAGGGGTAAAAACAGTATCAATAAATTAGTCTAAATTCAAACTGGTATCTACAGTACCAGTTGACCAGGAGCACCATCCTGTCCTGGGGACCTTGGGGGCCAAACAAATCAATATCAACTGCTACACATTTACAACAAATGGAAATACCAATTGTTTTTTATAACATATCTGTGGTGCGTAACGGCACAATCAGCGATCGGGAATTCGGTTTCACAATCATTTCGGGGTAAACAATGTGAAAATCATTGCACTGCACGAAGTAAACATAATCAACAACGTTTAAGTTTGGTGCAAAATTGTTGGGAGATAACGTTATCAGTGGGTGCATTATAATTAGCCTTGTCCCAGCCATAACGGCCCATATGGCAGAAGTCTATCACCTGTTTCATGAGGCAACTTGATGTACTGTACAATAGAGCGTGGGATAACGGCTGGAGAGAAGGAGTTCCAGAGCTTTGGCGGAACCCTAGAGAAGGCCCTGTCTCCAAAGCTCTGGAGCTTGGACCTGGGGATGACATGGTGGCCAGCTGTGGTAGAACGGAGTGAGCGTGTGGGTTGGTAGGGGAGAAGGTCCGGGAGAAGGTCTGAAGATTAAGGGGGGGCAAGGTGGTGAAGAGCTTTGTAGGTCAGAAGGAGGATCTTGTATTCAATGCAGTGGGAGAGAGAGTACCAGGGGAATTCACGGAGGACGAGGGTGATGATGGCGGCAGATAGCCTAGTGGTTAACGCTAGTGGTTATCGCATTGGGCCAGTAACCGAAAGGTCACTAGTTCTAATCCCCAAGCCAACAAGGTAAAAAAATCTGTCCATGTGCCCTTGAACAAGGCACTTAACCGTGATTGCTCCAAGGTTGGGTGTCTCAGGGAGAGTTGGGTTATGCAACAAAACACATTTCCAATTCACACAGGCGTATTAATACACACTTGTAGACATGTGAAATAGGACAAATATAAGCACCCACCAAATGATTATTATGTACTGTTAGGAACATTTGGAGCTAATGGAGGGAGCTTGAGTTGATGCTGGAGAGTAATTAGTTGCAGTAGTGGTGTCGGGAGGAGATGACTGCAGGGACAGTTTGATTAAAGATTTCTCATTAAACTGTCCCCTTTTCTCTTTATGTCAGATGGTCCAGCACCATCCTCAGAATTGCTTTAATTTTTGGGGTAATTATCATTTCTAGATAAGGCTTACAATAGAGGATAAAGTATTTCTATGTCACATGCTTGTGCAAAACATAGGGCCCTAATTATAAACAACATCCATGGCAGATTGCCTCTGTGCTGCTTTTAAACTGAGGTGTTAGGTTTGCGATTCATTCAGCCACATCTAGTCCGACTCGCGTGTCACCAACTGGGTGCCCTCAATGCGCGCTATAATAATAATAATAATAATATGCCATTTAGCAGACGCTTTTATCCAAAGCGACTTACAGTCATGCGTGCATACATTTTTGTGTATGGGTGGTCCCGGGGATCGAACCCACTACCTTGGCGTTACAAGCACCGTGCTCTACCAGCTGAGCTACAGAGGACCACAGCACTATCCGCATCTGCCTGGCTAGGTCGTCCGACAGGCCCTACACCTTTCCAAAGTAGTTTAGAATGAGGTTCATGTTGTGCGTGTTTTTGCTGTCTATTCGGCACTGCTCATACATGAGGTCATTCCATGAGCACTCCAGGTTCATCAGCTTATGGTGGCCCTCCAGCAGCTCGGCTTGCTCCATCATTACGGAGTATCTGTCAGTGCTCTCCAACTGTGTTCGAGGAGAGCTACCCTTCTGTAGGTTTTCGCTCCAATCGCAGTGTTAACTTACCTGATTTAGCTTACCAGGTGAGATAGATGATGGTTGGAGCCGAAAACCTACAGGACGGTAGCTCTCCAGGAACAGGGTTGAAGAGCCCTGCCGTACAGTGTCAGATCAAATGCAATGCAAGCCAACAATAATATGCTGAGCAAAAATATAAACGCAACATGCAACAATTTCAAAGATTTCACTGAGTTACAGTTCATATAAGGAAATCAGTCAATTGAAATAAATTCATTAGGCCCTAATCAATGGATTTCACATGACTGGGAATACATATCTGGTGACCACCATTTGTCTCATGCAGTGCGACACAATTCCTTAGCATACGTCGATCCAGAGCAATGTGTGCCATGGAAGAACTGGGACATTTTCAGGTTTCAGGAATTGTGTACAGATCCTTGCAACATGGGGCCATGGATTATCATACTGAAACATGAGGTGATGGTGGCAGATGAATGTCACGACAATGGGCCTCAGGATCTCGTCACAGTATATCTGTGCATTCAAATTGCCATTGATAAAATGCAATTGGGTTCGTTGCCCATACCATAACCCGACCGCCACCATGGGGCACTCTGTTCACGACGTTGACATCAGCAAACCGCTCGCCCACATGACGCCATACATGTGGTCTGCGGTTGTGAGGCCGGTTGGACATACTGCTAAATTCTCTAAAACGGCTTATGGTAGAGAAATTAACATTACATTCTCTGGCAACAGCTCTGGTGGACATTCCTGCAGTCAGCATGCCAATTGCACGCTCCCTCAAAACTTGACATCTGTGGCATTGTGTTGTGTGACAAAACTGCACATTTTAGAGTGGCCTTTTATTGCCCCCAGCACAAGGTGCACCTGTGTAATGATCATGCTTTTTAATCAGCTTCTTGATATGCCACACCTGCCAGGTGGATGGATTATCTTGGAAAAGGAGAAATTCTCACTAACAGGGATGTAATGAAGTTTGTGCACAAAATTTGAGAGAAATAAGCTTTTAGTGCGTATAGAACATTTGTGGGATCTTTTATTTCAGCTCATGAAACATGGGACCAACACTTTACATGCTGTGTTTATATTTTTGTTCAGTATAGTTACCAATCAAGTAGTATCTTATGTTGCAGCTGAGCATACCTGACAATATATTCTACAGGTTCTCCACAGCTGAGGCAAGCTGACTGTGCTGCATCCCAGCATATTTTAGATCCTTCAGGATTCAATGACGTTGATGTTTTGCCTCCAGTCCTTGCGGATGTCTGCCAGGGAGTTCTGGATGTCCTTCACATTCCCCAGAGCATAGTGGAACTGACTGAGGCCTGTACATGCCCTGTCTAACTGGGAGTGGGAGTGGATGGCAGGCTGGAAAGTAGGGACAGACAATTGTAAATGGTTTATATTTGGCTTTACAGCAAGCAGACTCCATCAGTATACACACACACACACACACACACACACACACACAGTTCTCTCCATCTCCATCTCTCAACAGGCCTGATGTCCACCAGTGTTTTCTGGGAGTTCTCGGTTCCATGTCTAAACTCGTCCACAGAAGGAGTGTACACTGGAGAGAGGAGAGAATCAGGGAGAGACAGAATCAGACAAAGAGAGAGAATCAGAGAGAGATAGAGGATGAGAAAGAGAAATGAGAGAGAGAGAGAGAGAGATAATGAGAGAGAGCGACTTCCAGCAGCGGACATAACTTTATTCAAAATGTCCGGAAAAGGATTTTAACATTTCTGTCACTCCTGTCCATCTCGCTGATGTGTGCCTTTAGCAAGCCTGGGTTCAGGTCCATAAGTAAGTGTCTGGGCTCTGTTCCCTGTAAGTAATTCAAATCAACAGGCTTTTGGATATACAGTTAGAATTACACATTTCTGTTGCACTTTGAAATCTTCCTCTCTCGCTGTGTCTCTCACCTAGCTAATAAATCAATGGCTAGTCCAATAGCCAGTGATGCGTACAGTAGCTAGTGTTAATGGTGAGCAGTGAATATTTAGAACAACCTTTACTTGGCGGTACTTTTCTTAATTCCCGAATTAGAAACCACCGCTGTCTTCTAAACATACATGGCTAGTTGCAGGTGGAATGTTGGAATTTAGAAAATGCTCCATTATTAAATTAAATCAATTTCTTTGCTCCATGAAGTAACCCAACAATGTGTACATCACAATCTTGTCTATTTCAAATCTTCTCTCATTGATGGAGACAAGTGTCATTCAAAGCGACGCTTGATTCCTGAGGTGGGGTGGACAACTACCTGTCTCGCTGAATGAAAGAAGATTTGAAATAGACAAGATGGCGGTGTACACATTGTTGGATTACTTCATGGAGCAAAAAATGATTTATTTGAGTAACAAACATTTTCTAAATTCTAACGTTTCACCTGCAACTAGCCATGGAAGTTTAGAAGACAGCGGTAGTTTTCCCTGTCTGATAAATAACAAAATAGCAGTAAATTATAAAATAGCCTCCACCAGTCTGTCAGTTTTGCTTTAGAATAATGAGGATAAATTTACTCTGCCAAAACGCTCTGTCCTCTAGTCAGGCATTGTCAAAAATGCTTGACGTGACATGCCTGGTGCTGCCATCTTCATCTCTTCATATGACGAGAACACATCTGTTGATGGAGCTCTGGCAATGCCAGATTTTAACGACCTAAAGAGTGGAATGGGTCAGTAAAGTTGATCGGTTTAAAAGTCAAACATATAGTAATAAGACATACTGCAACTAAATAAAGATATACTGCATCTTTAGTGTTCATGGTTAAAAGCGAAACAGATCTGCCAGGGCAAACCCTAATTGCCGGTTGTGGACACAGACAAAAATGTTGCAAGATCTCTACAGGCAGAAGATGAGCTAAATAAAAACATCAGATATCAGAATACAATTTACCTCTACGGGATCGGTGTCCCATATACGGGATGGTTGAGCTAACGTGCGCTAATGTGATTAGCATGACTGTTGTAAGTAACAGCAAATTTCCAGGACAAGATTTGTCTTATATGGGCAAAAAGCTTATATTCTTGTTAATCTAACTGCACTGTCCAATTTACAGTAGCTATTACAGTAAATAAATACCATGCTATTGTTTGAGGAGAGTGCACAACAACAAAAAACCTATCACGACAACTGGTTTGATACATTCACCTCTGAAGGTAAATAATGTACTTACATTCAGTAATCTTGCTCTGATTTGTCATCCTAAGGGTCCCAGTGATAAAATGTAGCATAGTTTTGTTTGATAAAATCAATTTTTATATTAAAATGTAGGAACTGAGTTCTACAGTTTGAACCCCTTCTGTCTCTGGCTCCACACCCACCCCGCCCAGCCATCTAGATGTTAGTGTATAAGCTAATGATCCTTCATGTATGACATTTTGTATTACCATATAATTTTTGTATGTTCTCTATAGTTACAGTGGGGAGAACAAGTATTTAATACACTGCCGATTTTGCAGGTTTTCCTACTTACAAAGTATGTAGAGGTCTGTAATTTTTTATCATAGGTACACTTCAACTGTAAGAGACGGAATCTAAAACAAAAATCCAGAAAATCATATTGTATGATTTTTAAGTAATTAATTTTCATTTTATTGCATGACATAAGTATTTGATCACCTACCAACCAGTAGGAATTCCGACTCTCACAGACCTGTTAGTTTTTCTTTAAGAAGCCCTCCTGTTCTCCACTCATTACCTGTAATAACTGCACCTGTTTGAACTCGTTACCTGTATAAAAGACACCTGTCCACACACTCAATCAAACAGACGCCAACCTCTCCACAATGGCCAAGACCAGAGAGCTGTATAAGGACATCAGGGATAAAATTGTAGACCTGCACAAGGCTGGGATGGGCTACAGGACAATAGGCAAGCAGCTTGGTGAGAAGGCAACAACTGTTGGCGCAATTATTAGAAAATTGAAGAAGTTCAAGATGACGGTCAATCACCCTTGGTCTGGGGCTCCATGCAAGATCTCACCTCGTGGGGCATCAATGATCAGGAGGAAGGTGAGGGAAAAGCCCAGAACTACACGGCAGGACCTGGTCAATGACCTGAAGAGAGCTGGGACCACAGTCTCAAATAAAACCATTAGTAACACACTACGCCGTCATGGATTAAAATCCTGCAGCGCACGCAAAGTCCCCCTGCTCAAGCCAGCGCATGTCCAGGCCCATCTGAAGTTTGCCAATGACCATCTGGATGATCCAGAGGAGGAATGGGAGAAGGTCATGTGGTCTGATGAGACAAAAATAGAGCTTTTTGGTCTAAACTCCACTCGCCGTGTTTGGAGGAAGAAGAAGGATGAGTGCAACCCCAATAACACCATCCCAACCGTGAAGCATGGAGGTGGAAACATCATTCTTCGGGGATGCTTTTCTGCAAAGGGGACAGGACGACTGCACCGTATTGAGGGGAGGATGGATGGGGCCATGTATCGCAAGATCTTGGCCAACAACCTCCTTCCCTAAGTAAGACCATTGAAGATGGGTCGTGGCTGGGTCTTCCAGCATGACAACGACCCGAAACACACAGCCAGGGAACTAAGGAGTGGCTCCGTAAGAAGCATCTCAAGGTCCTGGAGTGGCCTAGCCAGTCTCCAGACCTGAACCCAATAGAAAATCTTTGGAGGGAGCTGAAAGTCCGTATTGCCCAGCGACAGCCCCGAAACCTGAAGGATCTGGAGAAGGTCTGTATGGAGGAGTGGGCCAAAATCCCTGCTGCAGTGTGTGCAAACCTGGTCAAGACCTACAGGAAACTTATGATCTCTGTAATTGCAAACAAAGGTTTCTGTACCAAATATTAAGCTTTTCTGATGTATCAAATACTTATTACATAAGTATTTGCAAATGAATTACTTACTTAAAAATCATACAATGTGATTTTCTGGATTTTTGTGAGATTCTGTCTCTCACAGTTGAAGTGTACCTATGATAAAATTACAGACCTCTACATGCTTTGTAAGTAGGAAAACCTGCAAAATCGGCAGTGTATCAAATACTACATAAGTTTGTTCTCCCCACTGTATGTACTTGAAAATGTATCAATTGACCAATTTGGCACATTTGGGCAGACTTAATACAAAATAGTCCAGTATTGCAATGCTTCACTGGATCAATCTGAAACTTTGCACACACTCTGCTTCCATCTAGTAGCTAAACTCTAAATTGCGCCTAAACTGCAATATTATATTGTGGCCTTTCTCTTGCATTTCAAAGATGATAAAAAAAAAAAAAATTGTATTATCTTTTACCAGATGTATTATAAGTGTTTCCTTTCAGATGGTATCAAGAATATGCATATCCTCACTTCAGGTCCTGAGCTACAAGCAGTTAGATTTGGGTATGTAATTTTAGGCGAAAATTGAAAAAAAGGGCCCGATCCTTAAGAGGTTAATGACAAAAGATATTCAACACCAAAGGATATTCAACATGGCAAGGAAGGTAAATAAAATGTGTGATCTTTAAAACACAAAAACGTTTCCAAGTTGGTTTGAAGCAGGGCTGCCGTCAATGACTGTGATGCCTGCAGTGGGAGGCAGTGGCTGTAGGAAGCCTTTCACCATGGCATCCTGATTGTGGAGCACAATCGGCACCAAAGAAGGGTCACAGAAGGCAGTCTCTACAGCGCACGACAGCTGGGTTGGTACCGCACTGTTGACATTTGGGTGATGAGGTGACATCCTCCACTGCCAGCCAGTTGTCAATGAGATATGGTCTTGCCTCCCTCAGCCTTTCTGAAGACATTTGCTGTCTGGTAGCCAAGTCCGATGAGGGTGTGTGTGGTGGTGGTGAGGCCTCATTGTGGACATCGGAACTGTCCAATAGCTCCTGGAATTCCTGGAGTAGAGCATCTGTCCAAGAAATAGCCGAAAGATCAAGAAAGCGTTCAAAAGTGACAGACTGAGGTAACTAATTAAAAGCAAACACAAAATAAACATCCATCTCTGCATCAGCTGATATTGAAACAAATTAAAGAAAATGTGTTATGCACTACAAATTGTAACTACAAACTTATCTTGAGTTTTTTCAAGAAGCAGCATCAGACAACCGTTGATATCGGAGAAACACTACAAAAAAACGGTATTTTTGAAAGTGCAAGTACAAGGTAGCATTATTACATCCTTAGTGGGAAAAAAACATTAGGCCTATATGCCTATACATGTCACGATCGTCGAACAGAGATGAGGACCAAGGCGCAGCGTTGCAGGCAAACATACTCTTTAATTAGAGACACGATCAAAAACAACAAACGATACGTGACAGTTCACGGTCTAACATAAACAGACTAGAAACAAGATCCCACAAACTCTGTGGGGAAACAGGCTGCTAAAGTATGGTTCTCAATCGGAGTCAACAAGCAACAGCTGAATCACGTTGCCTCTGATTGAGAACCACACTGGCCAACATAGAACCACAATACCAGAATGTGAAACCTAGAACACACATAGACTTTACACACCCTGGCTCAACATATTAGAGTCCCCAGAGCCAGGGCGTGACAGTACCCCCACCTAAAGGCGCGGACTCCGACCGCGCCCACCAAACACCACAGGGGAGGGACCGGGTGGGCACTCCGCTTAGGCGGCGGATCCGGCTCCGGGCCTGATCCCCGCTCCAACCCCCCAAAGTACCCCTGGTCCGGTCTGGCCCCGCTGGCCGGAGCTGGACTGCACACTGGTGGAGCGGATTGCTCTAGCGTGAAGCATCTGACCGGTGCCGGACCAGCCACCGGTGGAACAGGCACGGGCCGTGCCGGACTGACGACGCACACCACTGGCTTGGTGTGGGGAGCAGGAGCGGGCCGAGCCGGGCTGACGAAGCGCACCACTGACTTGGTGCGGGGAGCAGGAACGGGCCGAGCTGGGCTGACGAAACGCACCACTGACTTGGTGCGGGGAGCAGGAACGGGCCGGACTGGGCTGGCGACGCGCACCACAGACTTGGTGCGGGGAGCAGGAATGGGCCGGACTGGGCTGGCGACGCGCACCACAGACTTGGTGCGGGGAGCAGGAACAGGCCGGGCCGAGCTGGCGATACGCACCGTAGACTTGGTGCGAGTGGCAGGAACAGGCCGGACCGTACTGGGAACACACACCACTGGCCCTACGTGGGGATCAGGAACAGACCGGACTGGCAACACACGCCAGTACCTCTCGCCGTGCCTCTACATCCTCCTTCCCCCTGGTGACCAGTGACTCCCGTAACCTGGCGGCCTCCTGCTGCCCCGTCGTCCACAGCGTTAGCCCCCCCCTAAAAAATTTATGGGCTTCACTCCTACCCGTGGACCAGGTCTCCATGCTCCTCGCCAGCCTTTCGCCCTTCTGCCTCCACGTCAAGCCCCTCTCTTCCTCACATGGCTTGACCCAGTCGAGGAGGCGAAGGAGATCCGCTAGAGATCGCTCAGGCGCTGGCTCCTGGACTTGCTGCTTGGTCCAGTCTTGGTGGGATCTTCTGTCACGATCTTCGAACAGAGATGAGGACCAAGGCGCAGCGTTGCAGGCAAACATACTCTTTAATTAGAGACACGATCAAAAACAACAAACGATACGTGACAGTTCACGGTCTAACATAAACAGACTAGAAACAAGATCCCACAAACTCTGTGGGGAAACAGGCTGCTAAAGTATGGTTCTCAATCAGAGTCAACAAGCAACAGCTGAATCACGTTGCCTCTGATTGAGAACCACACTGGCCAACATAGAACCACAATACCAGAATGTGAAACCTAGAACACACATAGACTTTACACACCCTGGCTCAACATATTAGAGTCCCCAGAGCCAGGGCGTGACAATACAGTATAGGCTATGCACAGCACTGGGAGAAAATTGTTCTTAAAGTGACAGGTGATAGTAAAGCACTCATCCAATTCCATGTTTATTACATATACGGTATGATCATAAGTTGTTCCTCACTGATGATGATCACACAAATCAGTGTGTATGAGCACCCTAACCAAATATTATAATCAAAGTTTGCCAAGACAATTTGTAAAGACAGTAAAAGTTTTATAGTACATACCAACTGTCTTGGGAACATTGGTCCAGTCGGTGGTGGTATTGCAAGGTTTTGTAAATAAAACAAGACAAACAAGTTTTAATAGATGTGTCAGAATTGAACTATATATATTAAAAAGTCTAATTTAACTTTTTTACTAGTGTGCACTTTTGCGTCGTAATTGGCTGAAAGTTAGTAATTTCAAATGTACTCTTGAGGACCATAGAACTGCTGGCTCTCGTTCTCTCCATCTAATCAGGAAAATGGGACACCAGGTGTGTGGACTCTGTCCAATCAGTGAGCTTAACATCCAGGCAGATTTAATAGCTGAACTAGGGATTGTTCCTGGATACGCCCTATCTCTAAAGCCTTATAAGCATTAATGCTCAAATCAGTTTTGTTTTTCAAATCCATTTTGGAATACTGACTGTCGAAACAGCAAGTTACAAGTGACCAAATCGGATTTGTCTGTGTTCAGACAGAAGTCATTTGCTGACATTGCTACGCTAGTTGTCATAGTAATGATAGGCTGATTGGTGTTTGTGCTCCTGGTTCCTATCACTCAGACGTTATGTAGCAAGCTAAGGTGACAACAATGCCTGCCATGGACGTTTACCAGTTGCTTTGCATGTTCAAAATCATAGTGTTAGAACACTTTTAAAGCCTCAAAGGATAAAATGATCCAACATTCAAAAATAGTTTGGCTAGCAAAGCAGTCAACTAGCTCAGGGTTTCCCAAACTTGGTCCTGGGCCCCCCGCTGGGTGCTTGTTTTGGTTTTCGCCCTAGCACTACGCAGCTGATTCAAATAACCAACTCATCATCAAGCTTTGATTATTTGAATCAGCTGTGTAGTGCTATGGCAAATCCCCCCCCCCCCCCCTCCCCCCCCACCCCCCAAATACTAAATATAAATAAATCAAAAAAGAAAGAGTTTGGGATTTTTTTGTTGTAAAGAATGAACAAGCTAGTTAGCTACTGTCAACAGAGTACCTAGCAAGCAACAAGATATGCCAAATAACTATCTAAAAACCACTTCAGGGAAAATAAATCAGATTTGACCATTCAGACACAAGTTGCATGGCCAGGAATCAGATATGTATCTGACTGGGGCTTGAAAGATCTGATTCCATGTGCTTTATGGCTGTTCAGACTGCAGGAAAAAGAACAGATTCGAATCAGGTATGCAAAAAAATTCTTTGAAAACAATGGCAACCATATATTTGGGTTATGACAGGGTAAGACTGTTGCGCTAAGCTCATGGGGCATTTATAAGTTATATTCTTCAATGGATATATCAAGAATAGCAATGGCCATTAAACATTAATAACCTTTAATTGCTAAATATTCCCATTAGATGGAAGCATAAGACCAAAGACCATGATTTTCTAAAATGGTCACTCATTACTTGATAGTTAGCTACATACATATATATATATATACCAGATGCTCCCTTAGGCTGAGTCAACATCCTCTAAGACCATTTGCAACCGTCAGCAAAGTCATAAATTGTTCAGATACCACATATTTCCTAACTAATTAAGTCTCGAAAACAAAAAGAATAGGATTATGACAAATAACTATTTTTCTTATTGAGTAACTTTAGCAATAAACCAAAAACACATTTTTCTATAGAGTGTAAATACATTTCTATGAAATATAAACAAATCTTTATGGAGTGTGAGAGCGAAAAACCTGTCTGGCAGCTTTCTTTCCAAATATCCATCAATCAATCAAGACAGTAAAATTCTCTCACGGCCCCTCTGCCCCAGGCAACCACTTAAGTACTCCAGATCAATTCATACAGCTTTATCAATGCATTTTAAACTATGATGCAATTAAATACACATGAAAGCCTCAGCAAACAAAATACAATCAAATTTGTCCACATTCAGGCTGGTCGACCCATCGAACCCTCCTGTGGATTCTCTCTGTCCCTGCCTAGACCCAATATCCCTAAGCATCAACGAAATAAACAAAAACATCTGAGAGCACACTGATTCTTCATAACCAAAGCTTATTTCTTCTCCTTCTTATTCTTCCCCAGTTGTATTTCATTGAGTTTTCTGAGAGTTTCTTGGTCCTGTTCTTTCTGGTTGTGTTCCTTTTTCCTGTACAGATCCACTTGATGAGCTATATGATCTGTATAGACACCTTTTGTCATGCTTCCAAGTCCAACCACCTCTGCCAGTTTGCTCCTTACTGGTGAGGGCAGTCCCATCTGCAGTTTAGCTCTCAAATTTGACTGCTCAATTTGACTCACATCTGGATCATTTCCGGTAATATTTCTCCACACTTGATGAACTCTTGACACATAGGCTCTCGGATGTTCTTGTTGTCCTAGTGGGTCAATCAGAATGTTGTCAGGATGCACATTTGTTTGAAACGTATCTTTCAGTGCTCTCCACAGCCGATTTCTACTTGCAGCCAACAACTCAGGGTCATTCACTGCAGTCCCCACATATCTATTAAGTCCAGCTCTCTGAAACATTTCTTCCATATCTGGAATCCCAAGGAGATTAGCCTAAAGTCTCTTAATGTCTCCTATGGCAGACTGTGTTCCCACCGTAATTTCTTCCAATTTTGACATCCAAGGATATGCTCCATCTTGAAGAGTAGGCAACTTCTCAAGTATATCTGACATATCGGTATTCTTCAAAGGCTTATATTCTAGGTTCTCGAAA